ATGATCTTGGTCTCTTTGAAAAGATAAAAGAGAGATTTACAATTTCTATGAGAACACAAGATCCAAATCCATCATATTTGATACGAAAAATTGTACGAAAGATAACAATCAAATTATGCAACAAATTTCAAGTTCAAATATGTTCCGACTTGCTTCCAACAACTTTTTATGAAAGATCTTGACTTGATAAAAATATTTTGAAATTATAAAACATGTCAATAATCTTTTTCATGGATTTTTCAATTTTCTTTCAATTGTATAAAAGGTTATGGATTATGCAATTTGAAAAACATGTTTACTTTGAGAAAAACTTTGAACTCATGAAATGCAATCTACCACATACCCTTGAAATCATATCTAAGTCTTAAAAGTCTAATCTAATAGGAACAAGGACTTATATTATTGTGTTGATTCTTGGATCTTGATCCTCACTTTAACTTAATGCTTGACTTGTTGAATATGATAATAATTGACACTTTGTTGGTTTTGATCATTTTCTTTTCTTTAAGGTTGTCCATGTTTTTGTTGCCTTTGATATTGGTTTTGATCTTCTTATTCTTCCTTCTTGTTCTTGATCCATTGTTATATTTTCTACATAAGTCATCTATATTCTTGCAATCTTAATATCTCATTTCCTTTCTTATATGGCTCAATCATGTATCTTCAATCTTCACACATAGTTGATGCTTTTTGCTTTTGATCAATGTTATTTTCTTTTTGTAGTTTCCTCTTTGTTATCATCAAAATATACATTATATCTGTATAGAAAAGCCCACACACATTCAAAAAAAGTTGGTACAAGCGAAGAACGCCGAGAACACTTGGGAGATTTTGAAGACTTCGTTGATAAAGATCCAACGGGTCAAGGGGTGAAGCTAGGGTTCAGTAGAGAGATCATTGAACTCAATTGATCCCTGCACTACTCTGGTGGCTGAGAAAGGTGGAAGGTGGCTGGGTAAAGAGATGTTGCGAGAGCAGAGCTACAACAACATTACTGTTTATCTCATCATAGTTCTATACAGTGTTTTTCTTCCTTTGTTGTTTCTTTTATTTCAAGTATGTGCTAAACTATTTAAGATTGGGAGATAGAGTACCCGCATTGTAATGTAACTATAGTTGTCTAAACTTTGTTATTGTTATTTTTCATTAGTTGTTTAATAATTTTGTTGATTTACTGAGAGGGAGCTGCAAATGTTATAAGGTTTGGGCTATAGAGATATATGTGAAGCCGGAAACTAATTAAATAATATGGATTAACTTAATTAATTTAAGTTATGGGTAGAGATATCATTCACATCGCATAGGCAGTGAAACTTGCACTTATTAAATTTAGTAATTAGTTTAGCCATAGAGATATGAGAATTAGTTATTGTGTATGTGTTTAAGGTTGGTGAGAACCCCTACACACAAGCACATGTTCTGGTTACTGATAGAGGATAGCTATAGGATTGCTACAACATGCTGGTAAAGTTGCAATATTGAAAAAAATGATCTCAATCTACCTTTTAATACTTGAAACTTAATCTTTTCAGTGTGTCTCTCGTATTTAGTCAATTTTCTTAGTTTAGGTTAATATTTAGTTATTAGTTTAATTAATTTAGATTTTAGTTTAGTCCTTAATCATTATTTTCACTCTTATAGTTTCACTAAGGCTATAACTTTATAATTTTGTCTGTGGAAATGATACTTGAACTCACACATCATATATTACTTGTAGACAATGTGCACTTGCATTTATTGTGTGATTATTATTATTTGATTGCCAAATTGCATAACAATCATTAGGAAGAGATTGCAGTCTATGTGGGCAAGGGCAAGCAGAATTCAAGTGCCTGACTTGGAAAATTAATATTTTATATTTTCTTGTTCACTTTGAAAAGTAGGATGACTTGGAACATACTTGGACAAAGGGGCCATGGATTATCATGAACCACTATCTAGCAATATGTTCATGGACACTAAACTTCCAACCTTACATGGCAAGTATATATTGCATTGCGGCTTGGATTCTATTGCCGGATAACTCGGTGGAATATTTTCGGTCTAATGTCTTCAAAGTGATAGGCAACTGGTTAGGAAAATTTATCAAAGTTAATCAAACTACAAAAATAATGGCAAGATGAAGATTTGCTCATCTATATGTAGGGATGGATTTGAGTCAACCTCTAAAGGGCAAATAAAAGCTGGAGAGACAATTGAAAAAGGTTCAATACGAAGGACTCCATATGATCCGTTTTTAATGTGGAACATAGAAGTGATGGTTATCCTGACGTTAGAGTAAGGAATATCCAAGAAGCAAAGATAACACGTAAAAAGGAGATGCAATAAGAAATTAATGTCCAGAATCAAATAACCAACGTAGGTAGCACAGTAAATCAAGTACTACCTACAGATTGGCCTCCTCAAGACAACTATGGCATTGGATGATTGTAACGAAGGATAGGAAAGGTAGGAATTCAAATTTAGAGCATGATACGAACTCGATAACTCCACCGAGATTAAACAAATCGCTCAGTTGAAGCATTCCTCACGATTTGTTGTGCTTGCAGAGCTAAAGGTAGACGTTACAAAATTGGGGAGGGGAATCATGGTGGAATCATTGCCAATCAATGCAGAGAGTAACAGTCCACTTAAGGAGAGGAAAGAAATTACAAAGAATGAAGGTGCAATCATTCCAGAATCACTATCAATTAATGTGAATGGTAGTAGTCTAGTTAAGGAGGGAAAAGAAGCGAAAGAGAATCATGAATATTATGGAATATTTACTAACTAATATGGCCGGTAACCATCCAATTAAGGAGAAAAAGCACACAACAATTTTGGCGGATACAAAAAATTGATTTCAATTAGCTTGGGACAAGATATCAAAGAATAGTTTATATATTAAAAAAGAGCTTATAGATGTTGTCAAGTTGGTGGAGGAGGTTTCAATTAAGCTAGCAAGAGCCAAAGAAAAATATCATGTGGACTATACCAACCTACATAACTGGACTACAGGGTATTCTTAAGGGACTTGAATACGTATGAGAAAAAAATATTCAAAAGGTAATAGTATAGAGTGACTCCACTTTGATGATCATGATGCTTATTGGGAGCAGTAATGCATTTTGAGAGACATAGATTGTAACTCGCATTCGAGTTTAGACATGAAATGATTGACAAATAAAGCTGGCCCATACTTACAAGGAAGGAAATTATTGCGCGGTGGTATAATTGTGGGAAAGCGTTTACCAAGAAATAAGGATATAAGTGTAACAAGAAACATAAAAAGCAAAAAGAATAGAAGACACACGATCTTTACTTTGTTCAAAAACTTGTGGTTAGCAAGTTTTCTATATCGAAGGGGCCTAAAAGGGTTAAACTCCTCTGCAAATGCACTTTATTCACAAATTGAATATATGTACAATGTTTTGACAAGAAAAGAATTTAACAGATTAAACTAAAGAAGATACAAGATATACACAGATATTAAATATACATCATGCAAATAAATCCTAAATCACATATTATAGAGCCAAGAAAGGAATAAACTTCACCAATATTCAATGAATCACCACAAGAATCGTTGTTCTACATCAGTGGTACTGAATCTGTCTTCAGCAATCACATATCAAATCCTCACTGGATCACCACTCCAAGTCACAAGCTCAAAATGCCAAAATCAATCGGTCAATCGATGCACCTTGATGAGTTATGCAAGGTTCTCTAAAGGATAGCAGTGAAAAACACACTCCATCATATTGATTTTGCACAAAAACCTCACACCACTCAAACCCTAGATGGAAGATTCCAAAGAAAATGAGAGATAGAAGAAGAAAGATATCTGATGTTAAAAGATCACGTATTTTACACAATCACCTCAGAGTTTTAGTTATTAAGCCATCATAGATAAAACGACACTGTTTCCCGTGTTACTAAAATAACTGAACTCAATTAGTCATCAACAATGATATCAGATAAATGGGCCTAAAAAAGTTTATTTACTTATTATTGGCCCAACACACACAGTACTAAAAAATATGGCCCAAGATAAAGCTATCAGAATTATAAAGCCCAAGTTTAGGAAATTCCAATAACACGCGGATTGGTTGACCAACTATATGTTGCATGCTCAAGCTACAAATCCTTTTAAGAAATCTCATGTTTCTCCGTATGGTGAATCTTTTGGTCTATGAGTAGGATCAAACACGTTAGTTTCTCTTAATTTCTTCGGAGCTTTCAACCCTTGTAATAAAAAAGGTAATGTTGTGAGGAGCTTCAACTTAGCAACGCCCGCCCACCACCTTTGTGATTTGTTAAATGTTAATTAAAAAGAAAACTTTAAAACTAAAGGAAAAAAGAAGGCAAGAGTGTTTGTATACTCTCAAGCACATGGTAATTAAAAACTAATTTTAAAAATTGCGTATTTATGTTTTTATGATTTTTTTAATCAAAATTTTAAGTACTTTTATTTTTTTACGATTTTACATTTTATGATTTTTTATCCCTCTTTCTTTTTTAGATAAAAACTTGATTTTATCTACTTGCTCAAGCGTCCCTCGGTATTACCAGTAAAAATGGAAAATATTAAAAAAATATTAATGCTTAAAAAACTCAAAATTTTAATATATTTAATGCTATATATTTGTTGGTCTTTTAGAAAACCTATTTTATTTCATTTGTTTGTCGACGTTAATATTTGAAATAAAGAAAGGCATGAAAAGTAAGGATTAGAATATTTAGACAAATCCTAAATCTAATTGTTTATTTTAAAATAAAATTGGAGAGAGAGAGAGAGTACCCTTTGGCATTTTCTCTTATCTGAATGAGGAACGAAAAAAACAAATGATTGTTTCCAAAAAAAACAAAACAAATGATGTTGGGGCTAACCAAAAAGATTTCTTTGGGGAAAGAAAATGAGAGAGCAAAGAGAATGTTTCAAAATTATAAACTTCATAAAAAAAAAAACACTTACACCTATTATACACATAATTACATTTTCTTTCTTTTTACTTCTCTGCACAAATAAACAAAAGAAAATGATATTTTTTTATTATTTTTTCTCTCTTTTCTCTTCAACCAAACATAAAAAAAAAAAACACTCCTCATTAAACTCCTAATTCCGAATAAGATTATTATTTTATTTTTTTAGAAAACTACTGGAATTAAAAAGACTACAAAACAGTACACATTCTAGGGCTAGCCACACCCGTCATATCCCTCCTTAGCAGGGTAAGCTCCCGAACTCTAGTAACAATAGAGGCCAAAGGATGTTGCAGATCACACCCTTTGTTAATGAGGGCAATTGCCACTTGGGAATCTCCTTCAACCCATAGTTGTCTAATGCCCCGCATCCCACGCAAGTTCTATGCCAACAATGAAGCCCCAAAGCTCAGCTCTTGTAGAAGAACCCGAATACGAAATGTTGACACTGTTAGCCCAACTATGTTTTGCTCGCCTGCGACCTTGTTCTTCTTCATGAGAAAGGATACGCTACGATTATGAAGCAGATTGCCATACCGAAACAGGCGTGAAGAACTGGGCCAAGGTTATTGTCACTTGCATAGGACCTTAACATTTGTTCAACTTTTATCAACCAGAGATGTTCCAAGTCATCTGCGAGTTCAGGATTAAAAGAAAAAATATGCCTTGGGACAACCCGTTACACGTTTATTGATTACTGATTTCATAACAAGAATACATGAGTCTTCTAATTTTTAAGTATAACTAACAATCAAAAAAATTGATGACTACAAAGTAATGAAAAATGAAAATAAAAATTAATCAAGGCTACCGAAGTAATGCCCTTTGTAATTAATCAAGGCAATCCAAAAGAAATAAGATTTGTAAACAAAAAATCAGCCTACAAAGCCGATAATGGGTAAGCAACGGGACGATTCCGGACTGCTTTCGATTGTAAATTTAATATAACAATTCATGTGATCTGGATCCAACTAAAATTTTCCATCTACCAAAACCTAATGGAAAAACCGAAAGGAAACACTAAAATGATTTAACCGCTATATCATCAATTTACTATGCTAGTGTAATTCTTCTTTCCACAATGCCCATCTATGTTGCTTTGGTTTGGTTATGAATATAAATCATAAATCTACCCAAGAACAATCACCCTGAAAACATGGCTATTACCAAACTCACAGCCATAAAAACAATATAGAGGCCTACCAGGCAGAATCCCCAGAACCTAGGCACTCGAAATCTGCACCAAGTGATCACCAAGAGAGACCCCATAAGGCTTAAAAGCAGGAACACAAATGCGATGACGATACCAACGTGGAAATTAAGCTCATAGGCTCTAGGATAAATATTGGCCGTCTGTGTCACCAAAGCAGTTCCAAGACCGACAAGCATGTTAAACATTGGTCCAGCAAAGCATCCAGCCATTGCCATTGCTGGATGACCGGCTTTAGCAACTGCAACATCAGCAACAAGATCCCCCACTGAATTTCCCCATGCCAGCACCGTAAGACCTAGAAGTGCTGGCGGCAGTTTGAGGAGCGTACCTAGAGCTTCAAGGCAATTCACCAGCTCTCCAGCAGTAGTAGATATCCAAAACACGCTCATAACAAATGCCATGAGCACCACAGGCATTTGCTCTGTTTTTGGGGGTTCTTTTTCCATTGCAAGATGAAGAAATGCAAGAGAAAAGCTTGCCATGAGCACCACTGACCAGAGGGGGAAATGAGTGTTGGGGAGGAGGAAAACTATGGGATAATTAAATGGCATGAATGAGTTGCAGGCATACAAGAGGGCTAGCGGACAAAGAGCGATATTGGCGGATGCATAAAATCTGCTCCATTGCGATGGTGCTGGTTGAGGGATTGTCAATCTTAAGAGAGTTGAGACAGGAAGCTCCCATGCTTTGGAAATCTGTCAGCACAGAGAGCAAGAGGTAAATCAGGACAACCTCAAGTAGAATAATATTATTAAAGAACTAGAAATCTATCCATTGGCTATTTTTTTTTACATAGGGACCATTGGCTATATTTTACTCAATTATTAATATCGAACTAAATTAAACAGTTATTATCAAATCAAAAGAATGATCATGGCAGCATCAATTACGTCAATCTAATTAGTTCACCATATCTTTAATATATCAAACAAAAAAAAATAAAAAACTGAAATCATTTGGATTTGATACTAGAATCTTGAAATGTTACCTGCTGGGGCATGACTCAAAAGTCTATCAACAAAGGTATAAATTGGTTAACCTCCCCATATTATTTTCCCCCCCTTTCGTGGGTTGTCCAATGAAAAATGGATTAAAAGGTTAACCCTATCAATGTCTAACAACAAAGGGAACAATCGGTTAACCCCGCCATATTAGACCATTTTCATACGCTTATGTGGTGTAAACTTTTTGGAAACTATTCCATAATTCCCTGTTTTAAGTAAGTGCATTTTCGAAGTAGTCAGTCACCATGCGAGGGTGACCTGCGGCCATCTATTAAAATATTTTCACCACTTTCATACTGTCATATAAACTACTTAGTTATTATAACAAGATGATCTCAATCAGACAAGATCACAAGAATACAACCTGCTTTGCGGCATTATTGATAGACTCTATACCTATTGTTTTCCCCGTTTTTCATTTAAAAAAAAAAGTTATACATAAGCATCTATTGGGTCTAGTTTCCTTCCAAATTTGAACTCTTCATACTTTCCTTATCTAGAACATAGAAATATATCATATCACCAAAACTGGCTACATGAAAACATGAAAAGTGATGCAATATACTAAAATTGAGTATTTTGATGATGAAAAGAAGTCACGGCATCTCATATACACAAAATATGCGTCGTTACTCCAACTATAACTGAGCTCCCAGTTTACCACATCAAAGATGAAAACTAGAATACCAAAAAAAAAACAAAGCTTTTCTCGCAGCCATTGGTCTTTCAAATTTTAATCAATTTCAGGAAATCCAAGATGAAAATAATCAAGTAAAACCACTGCATCCATGAAAGGCAAAATACCAGATTCAATTAATGTCGAAGCTAGCGATGTAAAAGCCAAATTGTCATCACTAAAGCTAATTGAAACATACCAATTGAATAGCTCCGCGGAATCCAGAAATGCGTTTCTCTTCCGAAACTTTGTTGATTTCGCAAGCGACAGCGAGCGATTCCTTTTGTCCCTCAAGATCCGAAGAACTCTTATACCTGCGATCTGGCAACCCTAAATCCATGTAAAAAACAAACCCGACGAAGAAGATATAAAACCCAACGAATCCAACGGCTTGCCAGAGGAAAATCTCAGCACTGAGATAGACGTAGAAGAGGAAGAAGGCGGCAGTCAAGTAGAACAACACATCCCTGACAAAGGGCGCGGGATCGACCGAGAAAGGAGCGGCGTAGATTGCGACGAAGCCAACGACGAGAGCGGAGACAAAGGTTCCGGCGGAGAGTATGGCACCGAACCCGGTTCGGTATTGACCGGATTGGAGAGCGGCGAGGGATGAGAAAACGTCGGGAGCACCGTTGCCGAGGGCTAAGAGAGTGACGGCGGCCATGCTTGGTGAGAGATTGAGGTGAAAGGCGAGCTTAGTGGTGACGATAGAGAAGTGGTGTTGTGCAGTTTTGATGAGGATGTAGAAATGGAGGAGTAGGAAGAGAGAGAGAGAAGGGATTGAGATGAAGGAGTTGTTGTGGCCGAAGAAGAGACAGTGGTAGTTGAGGAGTCCATTGGATTGGGAAGAGCAAGAGGAAGAGGAAGATGTGGTGGTTGTGACAAGTGACCTACGTGTAGAGGAGGGAGTAGGAGAAGAGGGTAAATTTAAGAACAAGGACGAGAAGAAGAAGAGAAAGATGAGGACAAGGGTGATGATGAAAGCGAGTGAAGATTTTTTAAAAGACAAAGAGAGAGGGGAGGGAATGAAATTGAAGGCCATGCCAATGCTAATGCCATTCCTCTGTGATTCTGAGTATACACACACACCATCCCAATCACAACCCCGTCAAAGGCCTCTCGTTCTCCCCTCCTTGGCTTGGCCCCACTCCATTTCCGCGTTCATTGCTTTATGAAATGCGCAGTTACCAACTTATAATTCAATTTTACTTTAATATAATTTTAGTTAGTTATTTTTTAATTAATCTATATGTTTTCCTTTCCCTGGACGAAGGAAATCATAAGAAATCACCTCATTTACACCTAGGTTTCTCTACTACTCCTCATTTCAGTACTCTAGAAGAACATATACTTTTTTTTTTTGGTTTCTTAAATAGTTTTTCTCAACATACTTAATGCTACTTAATTTTTTTTTTTTTAGTATATAAAGGAATTAAAAAAAACTACAGATTAACGTATCTAGGCAACATGTTGCCTCTAGTATCCTCAGAAACTAACTGCTCACAACCCAAAGGAATTCTCTCATACCACTGGGTAGACCAACTCGAAGGACTTCCATTAGCAGCCAACCAGTGAGCTACTTGATTTCCTTCCCTATATATATGTACAATGTTCACCCTCCAGTGACCCGACAGTAGCATCCTGATCTTTGTCAACAATGGATAGCACGGGTGGGATCTAGAGCAACCCTCCTTTACCAGTTGGATCCCCATCAAGGAGTCCCCTTCTATTATAATCTGATCAAAGCTTTGGTTCCATGCCCATTCCAGCCCCACAAAAGACCCCAAAGCTCTGACATTAAAACTGATTCTGGGTTCAGTTTCTTATAATAACCCATGATCCAACCACCATCTGCACCTCTACAAACTCCACCACAGCTAGCCCTTGAACCACTCCCTGCAAGTGAGCCATCAAAATTAATTTTTATCCAATCAGTAGGAGGAGGGGACCAGTTAACCAAAACTTCAGTGTGACCTTCCACTTCTAGACCAGCCCCTGACAGAATCTCATTAGCCTCCTTAATGTTGTTAACATAAGTCATAACCTGATGGAAAATCTCCATGGGGGAGGATCCCTTGCCATTGAAAATGAGGTTGTTCCTGTCCTTCCAAACAATCCAACAGGTAACACCAAAAATCAACCTCCAGCCACAATTCTTCCTGTCCCTACTGAGGTTTGCATTCAACCAGCTATCCAAATCCCCATTCAGGATGGAGTCCATATCCTTCTCTTCTAACCAGTAGCTCCAGATCTCACGAGCCCAGGAGCAATTCCTAAACACATGGATATCTTCCTCCACACCACTATTGCATCTGGGACAAATAGCAGTCATTGTCATATGTCTTCTAACTCTTTCACTATTTGTCAGTAAATTATTCCCAGCCAAGAGCCAGAGGAAGAGTTTAATCCTCTGAGGACCTTCCCATTTCCAAACAACATCCCAGTTCCTATTACTAGCCCCACTTTCTTGACCTGAGAGATAAGCATAGGCAGACTTGACAGTGAAAGAGCCCGAACTGGAAGGAGTCCAAACCAATTTATCCTTACCCTCAAAACAATTAGGAGGGTTTAAGGATCCTATAGCATCCAGAATATCATTAGGCAGGAGAGGGTTCAACCTGTCCCAATCCCAATTTCCCTCCTTGACACAATCCCATACTACCCAATTTTGATCCTCCTCAGGGATACTGACGACGACATGATCCATTAATTTACCCACATTGGGCACCCATCTATCCCTCCAGAAAGAAGTTGTCATGCCATCTCCTAATATAACTCTGGAGCCATCTAAAGTTTGGCTCCAAGACTTCTGAATTCCTCTCCATGTATTGGATGTAGGGCTATTCACATTGATTACAACATTGAAAGAATTCTCAATTTTATACTTATTCCTCAGCACCTTGATCCAAAGGTCCTCCTTATTAGCCAGCACATTAAATCCAAGCTTCATAGCAAAGGCTCTATTTACCAGAATCTGATCCCTGAAGCCCAATCCTCCATCACTCTTGGGCTTACACACTTTCTTCCAACTAACAAGGTGAGTCTTTCTATGGGCTTGGGAGGAACCCCAAATAAAACTCCTTGTTAATTTCTCCACTTCTATGCAAATTCCAACAGGGAGGACAACAGCCTGCATGGAGTAAGCAGGTATAGCTTCTAGGACTGATTTAGCAAGAGTTGACCGACCAGCCAATGAAAGAGAATTCTGATTCCAGCCAGCCAATCTCTCTTGAATCCTTCCCAACACGTTATTGAAGGTCCTTTTTGTTACCCTTTTATGGTGGATAGGGACACCAAGGTACTTCCCCAAATCAGTTGTAATCCCAATACCAAGAGATTCACTGATCTCTTTGGTCCTCCCAGGACCAACATTTTTAGAGAAAAACACTCTTGTTTTCTCCTTGCTAACTTTCTGCCCAGAAGCAGCAGTAAAAAGCTTCAAAACCTGATTAATTACATGGGCTTGATCCATACTAGCTTCAGCACACAGTATTATGTCGTCAGCAAAAAACAAGTGAGAGATTGGTGGACCATTCTTCCTCAAAATAATTGGTTTCCATGCTTTAGTCTCAACTGCCACATTGATGAGATGAGCCATCCTTTCCAAGCACAACACAAACAGGTAAGAGGAGATAGGATCCCCTTACCTAATACCTCTCCAGGATTGATGCCTCTAGTTATAACTCCATTCCAGAGAAGGTTCAAAGATGTAGTGGAGATGCAACTGTTAATTAAATCAATAATAGAGTCAGGAAGACCAATCTCCTTCATAGTTTCCAGAATGAAGCTCCACTCTAGCCTATCATGGGCTTTCTCCAAGTCAACCTTTATCATCATCCAACCTTTATTGCCCTTCCTAGCTCTCATAGAGTGGATGACCGCTTGGGCTATGATGATGTTATCAGACCCTTGCCTGCCCTTAATGAAACTGCATTGGTTAGGGGAGACAATCTTAGGCAACATATTCCTCAACCTCTCAGTAATGATCTTTGTAACAGTCTTGTACACCACATTGCACAGACTAATGGGTCGAAAATCTCTCATACCTTCTGGACTCTTTTTTTTGGGGATCAGACAAATCAAGGTACCATTAACCTCTCTCACCTTATCAGGATGGTCAAATATATCCCCCACAAGCTGACAAACTGAGTTCCCAATAGTATCCCACTGACTCTGGAAGAACAAGGCACTCAAACCATCTGGTCCAGGAGCCTTGAATTTCCCCATTTTGAAAATAGTCCTTCTAATTTCCTCCTTACTAGGCTTCTGCTCCAGAAACCTCTTTTCTGGACAGGTGAGACTAGGGAAAGAATTCCTAACAGGAAAATCCCCATCTCTCTCATCATCAGCAGTTAACAAAACTTGATAATAATTGATAGCCATACTCACAAGAGCCTGAGTATCTGCTACCCATTTCCCCTGATCATCCTTGAGAGAAACTATTCTGTTATGCCTCCTTCTATTAATTGTAGAGGAATGAAAAAATCTAGTGTTCTTGTCACCATATTTTAACCATTGACTACGAGACCGTTGGAATCAAATAAGCTCTTCTTTAACCAGAATTAATTGAAGTTCCTTCCACAGCTTCTTCTGGAGAACTTCTGTATTATGGTCAAAATTCCTATACCTATAGCTATCCAGCCCATTCAATCTAGCATACAACTTATTTTTCTACTTGATCTGCTCCTTGAAAACATTCTGATGCCAAGCCTTAGCCTCAGATTCAAACTTGTTTCTGGCCGAATTCCAGCTGCCATCATTCTCCCAACTCTTCTTGACCAAGTCCTTGAAGCTTTTATCAGTCAACCAGGCAGCTAGGAATTTGAAACTCCTTGAATAAACCCCTGGATTGGACTTCCTATCATTGCAAATAAGGATTGGTCTATGATCCGAGTTGAAAAAAGGAAGATGCACAACAAATTTATCAGCCCAAGCAATAGTCCATTCTTCATTAGAACAAGCCTTATCCAACCTCTCATGGAGTCTCCCATGCTTCCAAGTAAAGTCTGGGCCCTTATAACCCAAATCAGTAATCTTGCAACTAGTCAAACACTGGTGCATCTCATTCATGCTACCCCAGCATACCTCCTTTCCCCCCACCTTCTCAGAAGCTGTCAGAATAGAATTAAAGTCTCCCAGTAGCAGCCAGGGACCAGAAATAGACAGACTAAGAGTCTCTAGTTCAGACCAGAGCATTCTCCTCTCCATCTTCCTTGGGCTACCATAAACAACAGTAACAAAGTCTACTTTATTAGAGTCCAAATACTTCACCCGCGAGTGAATAAATTGGGAATGAGTCATAAGAATTTCCACCTCCACCTTGGTATCATCCCAAAGAAGTCATAACCCACCAGAGAACCCAATCGGATCCTGCTTGAAGAACTTAGGAAAACCCAGATTCTTGATGATCCCCTCACCTCTCAAGCCACCAACCCTAGTTTCCAACAAAGCTAAAAAGCTAACTTTAAATCTAAAGCTTAAATCTCTAACCAGAGGAGGGAAGCATCTTTTACCCACCCCTCTACAATTCCAGGACATAATAAACATAAATGAAAAAATAAGGAGCCTGTACAAGGGACAATCCTGCAAGCTAACTGCACACCTATTGGCCAGAACTCCCCCCATCATAGGGGACCCAGCATCAGGAACCCTTATATTGGGCTCAAGAGCCACTACCTTGACCAGAGAAGGAACCTCTTTGTAATCTTTCTTCCCAAAGCTAATCCCAATATTGCTATGCTTTGACAGCAATTCTGAATTATAAGGACTCTTAGCTCTACTCCGGAGAGCACCTTTATTCAAACTCTCCAGCACTGAGATGTGCGGAACATTCTCAGTTCCCAATATCTTCATGGGAATTCTAAGGTTGGGCTTAGACTTATCATTCCCCTGTTTATTCAAGTTCCTCTTGTTACCACCTCCAGGACTTCTCAAAACCTTCGAAGGACTAGGCATAGAGGCCTCAGCCACCTTGACTGACTGAACTGGGTCCTTATCAACCTCCATAGACCCTTCAGTGTTTCCCATTCCAGCCGCCGGCTGAGAATTGCTCTGCATTTCCACTCTAAGCTCCTCAGGTGTTGCCACTATAGAAGCAGTCATAACACTTAGCACAGGCACTTCTGGTTTAGGACTAGCCTCACAATTTCCCACCACAGTGTTGTTCTGGCTAACAGGATTAGCTCTAAGTTTCCTGTTACGAGGATTTCTCTGGATAACCATCCAGTTGCCGAAAGCTTTATCCAAAGTCTCCTTTTGTGCTTCCTTGATAACAATGCTCTCCTCATTTTTCTCCAATCCTATGTTCCCCACCATGTGCTGTGCACACTGGGACTGAGCCTCAGGACAATGGTCCTTCCTATGTCCATATACCCCACACTTGAAACAGACCATGTGAAGGCCCTCATACCCAATCGGGTATACCTTTTCCCCCATCACGAATTTGGACAGAAGACTCTTTCTCAGGTCTATCTCTACACAGATTCTCGCAAACTTGACCCTCTCCGTGATAGTATCTTCCCCAAGCTCACTCTTCCGAAGGGAATTCCTATCAACCTTCAACGTTCTACCAAAGATGTTATCAATGCGCCATAAGTGGCGAGCCGTATAAACCTCAATAGGGAGCCCATGGATTCTTAACCACACTTCCAACTTCCTGATTCTATCATCATATGGGTCAAAAAATGGCCTCCACCGCTGAACAACCACATAGTGGTCATTGACTATCCGGGGTCCTTCTTCGAGGATATGCCGATAGTCATTGTCATCCTGGAACCTCAACAAGAGGTATCCATTATCCAGGTCAATATATTCGAAGGGACTCACCAGGTTCCACATCTTCTGCAATCTTGTCATCAGGAATCTTAGGCTGATGCGCTTCCCAAGCAGCTTGATGATGAGAGATTTGCGCCATTTCTCACAATCCTTCTTGTGTTCTTCAGCAGAAAAGGAGTACCCAGGGCAAAGGGGATCTTCAACAGCATCCCTCAACAGACCTTCCAGCAGCTCTGCCTCCTCATCCTCCCTCTTCTGTTTCATAATCCAGTCTTCATCCTCGCTATCCGATTGGCCTCCCTTCCCATTAAGGCAAAGCAACTTGTCCTTATAAGAAATAACTCTGATACGCGGGCCTCCACTCGCAGCAGCCAACTTCTCCTCCAGATTTAGCTGGATCGGTGTGCACGAGTCCGTACCACCCCTTCCTTCTTCGATCATGCTCTCGTCCATCGTCTCGTCCTCCATCACCACCCCCTTGGGTTTCTTACCATCCCGAGGGGTGACTTCCCCTTCAACACAGCTATGTTCCCTCGAACCCTTGGAGCCATCGTTCTCAGTTGGTGATTGCAGTTCACCCTCCTCAATATCCATCCTATCTCAAACTTGATTTCGAAACCCTAGCAGAGAAAGAAATATCGCGCGCGTGAGGCTACGCTCTTACAGTTTCACTTTAATGCTACTTAATTTGAACTAAAGTTATTGGAATAAATTCATTTTATGAAGAAATCATGTCAAGTATTAATCTCAAATTGCTGTTTTTTTATTTTTTGGTTTACTCATAAACATGACCGTCCCCTTATTCCTTTACCAATTCTCCTATGAGCATAATTAATTCCCCATCTCAAATAACTAATAATCATGTCAATAACAAGTTAGTTACTTTAGTTAGTCCGGAAGGAACACATACTGGAATAGTGATCATTTTATGACTGTTGGCAAAAAAAATTATTAGACTGCTACGCCAAAAATAAATTTTGCCAAAATGCCACGTGGCATATTTCGCTAGTATAGCAAAATATACTACGTCAGAACCAAAAATGTTACGTGTCAAACAAGGTGAAATTCGTTACACAGTGTAGTGAATTTCATCTTGTTTGACACGTGACATTTTTGGTTCTGTGCATTCTGACGTGACATATTTTGCTACACTGTGTAGCGAATTATTTGCACATATATTTCGCTACACAGTGTAACGAAATATGTCACGTGATATTTTGACAAAATTTACTGTTGACATGGCTGGCAATTTTTTTTTTGCCAAAAGTGACACTTTGGTAACTGTTGCAACATATACTAGTTTGATGAAGTCAATATCAACTTAATTACCCTATAGACAACGAGCGGACTCAAATTATCATTGTTGTTTGAAGATATCCCCATTTTTTTTTATTTGATAAAAACTCAATCCTTAATCAGTTATAAACTCACTCCTAATTTAACCATTTTTCCAGATTCTATTACCAAGTCCTCAGAATCAAAATACAAAAAAAAAAAAAAAAATGCAACCCAAAATAATAAAGGAAAAAAAACACATTTAGCATTTTTATTAATTTATTGCTCTAAACAATACTTATAAGTAGTTTTATATCTGTACTTTCAATTTTTAAAAGTTATAGGTTATGTTTGGGTATTTGGATGAATTTATTTACTTATTGATGATTTTATTTTTATTTCAAATAACTAGTGATTAAAAAGTTATTAAAAAAGTATTTTTTTTCCTTAAAAAACCAATCTAATTCAAGCATGCTAGTAGTAAAGCAACTGTACCATTGCATTTATTGAGGTTCAAAGTGTCTTAGGAATAACTACTGAAAGTTTCAATAAACTCATAAATTTGTTTTGGTACTCTATTTATTTAAATACTAGATAATTTTGTATCTCTCCCATTTTTATCAACTACTGTCGCTTTTAACTACCAGAAAACTGAGTCACAATTTGAAACTTTTCCAGAGGAACAGTGGCCAAGTAATTTTGATATCTCAAGTATTCATTATGGCATAGATATCTTTTTTCTGGAGGAAAAAGAAAGTTCAGACCAAAGCCAGAGACAACTGAAGACCACAAGCAAATTTTGGGTGTTCAAGTATTCAAACGCTATTCATTTCCACTTTCCAAAACACGAATTCCTTCCTTTTCGTTGATTCTAGTTCTTTGAAGTTTCAACTAACCTTCTATATCCGTTATAGAAAAGGCTAAAGTTACAGCAATAACATTAACACGAGAACAAGGCATCATCTATATTCCACGGGCAATCGGTAACCTGGCATGACTATTTTGGCTGCGAACATTTTGCCAGTCTTTGGCATAACATGCCAGTGCATAGTCAAGTTAAATTCTTTACCGCGCAAATTGCTTCCCTGAACATGAAAAATGACAAATTAAGGCCCAAACAAATCTGAAGCATTCATATTAGTCATAACATCCTCGAAAAGTTGTATACCTGGTCAATGAAGCGGTACTTATTTGATGTATGAATCCAAAACTTCGCATGCTCTTTAGAGGGAATGATACCATCCCACAGGGATATCTGTAAAATGGCATCTCAAGAACCTAAGCAACATATACGACATAACATACACCAAAGATGGCAGAGATGCAACATAACATGCAATGGCACAACTATCTGAGTGACATGAATACTGTAAACAAACTCCAAAGTCGCTGCCTCACCAATGAAATTTCGAGATTCACCTACCTACTATTACTAAGGCTTCCGTTCATTCTTTCCTTTTTAAAAGAAGCTGGAAACTTACAACTTAATTGTTTATATTTCAAATTAGGATGCAAACAAACTAATCAAAGCATACCTGATTCAAGGAATTCTTTGGTGTTTCATACTCAGCAGCTAAAAAGACAAAAACCTGCAAGCATATAAAAAGAGGCAAAACTAAGTCCCTGGACAGCCCCGAAATTCTAGCTTCTAAACTATTTATAATAATTCGTCAGATATTAGGAAATCTCGAGGATATGTAATATTAAGCAGTTCCAACACTTCCTTAGAAGTACAATTTGTACACAAACATAAAAATGCAAAGGGCAAGAATAGAAATATATATTTCAGAAATGAAACAAGATATAACGATAGGTCAGGAACCTTTAACATTAAACAAACATTGCCACATGGGAGGAACAGAAGAAAAACAGACAAAATCAACAATAAGAAATGCAAAACATTCTAATACAATTTTAATCTTCATTTTTCCCAAGCAGTCCTGACATTTCACTTCATACCAAGAGCATTCATACTTTTCAGAAGCAAAGGAGGAAATGACCAAAGGAAAAACAGATTACAATGAAAATTGCAAATTAAAGTCAAGAACCTGTTTTGTGTTCCACGTGAAAAGAGACTGCAAATCTGCTGATATATTCATTGTCATGCTCACCTGCAAGAATAGAAAGGCTTCCACATCAGATTGAGCAATGTATAAAGATGACATTTGAAATCAGAGAAAGGCATCACAATGAGCCAGTTTATGACACAACATTATATTCAGATCATAATATCATATGTAGCCTAGAATTCAGAGCATGTGCAGAGAAATATATGCATTAAACATGTATACAGTATGTAATGCGGTAAGAACTGGATCTTTTGCAAAGCAAATAGCACAATATAAGTAAGTACAAATTTTTTCCATGCTAGGCCAGTTTAAAATTGCGTTCTATGAACTAGAACCATCATGAAGTTTCAAATTATTTCTGACTTTGTTCTTCACTGGTTTAAAGCACGCACAAGTATTACTTATAAGTTGTATGGAAAAATATGTACATCCCAACAAGCATATGATGCAATTACATTGGAAAATCTACAAATTCGAAAGGAATTTAATGACTTCGTAATAAGTTCTTCATCAATTACACATTTTTTTTAACAGACACGGCATAAAAATAAACAAGGATTTCAGGAATCAAATCATAAAATTTCAGTTTAAATTTAATTTTGGTTTACATAACAGGGCATTGATATAGTTACCAAATATTCATACTTACGAATTAAAAAATTTATCAGACCCCATCAATCATCATGATCACATATTTCATGATTTCATTATCCCAGTAGTTGCACAAAAATATTTCACTGTCCCAAGTTTGTATGCATCTTTTATCAATCCATAACATTTGGCTGATGTAGGTGAGATCAAAACCTACCGAGATTTAATAAAGAAAGATTCAACCAGTAACATCCTTTGGTAAACACTTATAATAACAGTAAACCCGATGCACGAGACTTCCCGACTAAAACCTCCTACTAACAGTAAGATCCTAATAAGATTTAAGAGCAAGAGGACTACATACATGAAAATGCGATCCTTAAAAAAAAAAAAAAAATATTCAACAGCTGCGAAGCTCTATTTCTGTCACTGTTTCATAACTAATTCCCCCATAAGCACGATACTGAAAGACAATGATTACAAAGATTCTTTTCTTCAGCATTATTATGAAAAATACTCCAAATATAAATATACAGCAGACGTTCCACAAGTCTGTTATGTCCTCCACCACATCCAAATTCCAAAGTATCATACCTTAAATGACTTAAACAATCCTGAAAGAATCTGTAAAATTACTGTTCACAAGTACAGTTGACAGTCTTGGAAGTTGGAACAGGCAAAGGAATACATTTACTCCTTCTCCTTCATTTCATTCCATTTCAATGTGTCCACTTATTCAGACATTTCCTATATGACATAACAATCTACCAATAAAAGTAACCCGCATGCTATGTTTTAACTGTATATAGTCTTGCAAGTTGCAACCAAAGATCATTGAGGTGATAACTTGCTCATATTTAAGTATTGAGGTTTGGATCAATCAGAAGTTTCCTAAATAAAAAAGCTGGACCAACAGCAACAACTCGAGTTGCTTAATGCATAAGACGATTACCACATACCTAATTGCAGAATAAACTGCCCAAGCAACAATATCAGTACCGAGTTTGCAACGACTCTAAGATGAAACAGGAATAAATATCATGTGTGATATTGACCAGTATACAATAAAAATTGGACTAAAATACCAGCATTTAAACATGATCCTAAATCTAAAAGAGGTTCACCTCGTCATTGCCGTTCGGCTGTTTCTGAAACCAGTTGATATTCAACACCTACATCCGCATACATAAAACACAGTGGGTAAAACGAACGCAAAAATTACTGAATTACAGATCTGTAAAAAAATGAAATTATGAAAAATACAAATAAAGAGAGAGAGAGAGAGAGACCTGAACTTGCGCAGAGGGAGAGGGGGAGTTGAGGTTGTCAGAGAGAGAAGCCATGGCGCACATAAGGGCCAGAATGGTTACGGCAAATGTTAGCAAAGCGTTGGCTCTATAACCGAAAGAATGCATTTTGGGGTTTTGGGGTTTCTTCTTCTTCGACTGCGCTCTATCTGTTTGATTAAAAGAAAACGGCGAAATATGGCTCTCAGAGACTAAGCGAGAACGCCACTGGTTTTGTTATTCATTTCACTCAGCAGACAAGGCAACTTTCGTGCTTTCCTGCTCTCTCATTGGATCGAACACGCACTCTGTGGGGCCACATATCAAAATCACTTTTTCCTTTGTTTATTAAAAAAATAAACAAATAAAATATATTTGATTATTTCTAAAAAGGAAATATTATATTTATAAATTTTTTGTTTACAAACTACACTAAGTAATGTAATTTGTAAAAAAAAATTGTAAAACAGACATACTATGGTTTGAGACAGTATTAAATTAAAAATTAAATAAATGGGTACTAATTATACATATACTTTTTGTTGAATTAAAAAGTTGCTAATTTTAGGGGCGAATATAACAAGTTAGATTATTGTTCTTATTGAGTTATTTTTTTTTCTTATTACACAACATTTTTATTTATTTTTTTGGTTACAATATTACACAACATATTTAGTTGAAGCTTCACACTCACAACAAAGAAATTTTCAGTTCAAATCAAAATTACTAATTGTTCGTATACCAAAAATAAAAATTACTAATTGTTCTGCTGACATTTTCCTATATATATATATATTAGTTTTGAGCTAATGTGCTTTACTAATTTATTGTTGACGTTGATGTTTATAACACAATCGTTCAGTTTTCTTTAACTTAATCAGGCAATGGGGTAAAAAGCGAGCCACCGTTGAATCTATTTATTTAATAAATATAGAAATAAGTTATATTTACAAACTTTTTTGTTTACAAACTCTTACGAACTACACTATATTCTCTTGAGAGAACACTGGTTTCACTATGTTCTCCCGGAAGAAGATAATGTAATTTGTAAAAATTTGGCAAAAAAAATTTGTAAACGGATCCTTCCCCATAAATATAATAAACTCTAAAACATCACAGCAACATATTAAATACGAACAAAATAAAAAGGCTACTTCAAGACTTACGCGGTATAAACAAAAAAACTGCTATATGTCCCCAAAACTTGCAAAAGATATTTTTACCAAATGATCTATGCTTCGTTTGCTAGTGGTTGCACGTTATTTCAGTTGTTCCACATTACGTACATTCGCTAATGGAGAAATTCCTTGTTAAAACTTTTGGTTATCTATATCTCTTATATTTAAACTCTCAAGTTACTACATGTATAAGATTACGCAAATTTTGTTAAAAATAATTTTAAGTTACTTTGTCTTTACCTTAAATGTGTATTAGATAGATTTGTCTCTCTTCGGTGAATGTAATATCATATACATTTTAATTATCGAGGGTAGTTAAGGATCATATTTCGGGACCTAAAAATCATTTTATCTCCTTGATGATGAATATTTGATGATCGTGTCGTGTCAGTGAAAATTTAAAAAAAAAAAAAAATGCAGTATTAGGATGCAGGAGAGGAACAACAACATTATTTGTTATTATTTAACAAGAAGCCTTCTTATTGAGTTGAAGCTTTTTATTCATTACTATATATATATATAGTAACCATAACAAGTATATGCTTACTTAATAAATAAGCATAAACTCTCTGGATTCACATAGAGTCTCTCTCAGGACACTATGGTCTATGCAGGATTGTTGAAGTCAAAGAGGTCAGCACATTTCTTTCCATGCGATTGCAGTGAAGTGCTGAATCCGAGCCTTGACCTTGCGAGGTCTACAACGACAACGTTTTCTTCCAATTGACGTGCCCCTATGGCAATTGGAGCTCTAGCATTCTTTCCTCCGTTCACAATCCCCAAACACGTAACCCCAGGACGTGCCTGCACCATCAAGTTCTCACCAGAGATTCTCCAAACAACATTAGGCTTGTCCATCACAAGGTCAACATAAGGAGCTGCTGCACCCATCCTTTTTGAGTCGAAACATAAACCAAATGGTCCCACAGCATTCACCTGTGCTTGCCTTGGGATTTGGTTTGCATATAATTTAGCAAACGTCTCAAAAATGGATTCGTGAAGAACTGTGTAAGGAGCTGTTGTGGTAATCAATGTTCCTCCCATAACACCTTCGGGATTTGATGATAACATGGTTGGGTTAAATGGGACAACATTATGTTGGTTAATTCTTATCGATGTGATTTGGATGTAGTACTCTCCTAGGTGTGGGCTAATTGTTAATGGGGTGTAAGCCAAATCATGGAAAATATCCTGATTATAACGCATGTTATTTGGTGCATCCCCGAATAGAATAGCCCCGTTTGATGATGGGTTGCGAGAGAGGCACATGGTGAATTGGCGTTGTAATCCAAAGTAGGAAGAAAGTTGATTTGGTAGAGAAATGGGTGCATGGCCTAGTCCAGCCACACCTTGAACATTGTTTGGCAAACCCTTTTGGGCAAGGAAGGAAGGTGCACAAGAAAAGAGGAATTGAGGGACTCTCACCATTGGACCAAGTCTTGACCCACGAGTGTTGGTTGTGGTTTGGATTGCTAACACATCTTGGGCTAGCTCACCTATGCCGGTTTCTTCGGTGACAGGGTTCGAGGACATGAGACCACACGTGTTGTTATGGCATCCGGGTCTGGATGCAGAGACACAAGTGTGGCAGAGGTGAGTGTTGGCTCTGGAGCATTGTGTGGAGTGGCAAAAGGGTGCTTGGTAAGTTGAGGATGAGTAGTGTTGGTCACAGTTAACCCATAAGTGTTTTCCGTTTAGGTCAACTAGGACAGGGACTTGCATCAGAGGGGTTCTCTTGTGGATGTTGGCCCAATGGAGTCCACTAGAAGCATCATGTTGAACGGGTAGAACTAGCAGATTTGGTTTGTTACGGGTATTTGGGGCGCCATGGGATTGAGGATCGGTTTGTGACTCGGATAAGAAGAAAAGGAAAGAGCAACAAAGAGAGATGACCAGAAAATGGAGGATAGAAGCCATTCGTGCCATATATGAGAAAAGAAAAGCTTTATGGTTATGGCTAGATTGGAATGGTTCACTCAGTGAACCACAATATATATATATAGGGAAGAACCGTTTGGCTTCAAGTGCCTAAGGGAGGTAATGCAATGTATTATTATCTCGTTTGTCTAGTCATTGTTAGAGACAGAGCCTGTGACATTAGTTTGGATCGATGTGTTTGAGGCTTGTGAATGAATTTCCAGGATCAACTATATGATAAAGTTAACAATTGGTAAGAAAACAAAGGGTTGGTGAGTGTGAAGGCCTTAGAGGGGGGGGTACTTGGCTTGCAGGGAGGTAAGCTTAGTTGCATGGCATGCAGTTTTCATTCGTTTCTTCTTTGTCAAGGAGCCGTGTGGATTTCGTGCATTAATGTTGTTGGTAACTGCGACTTGCCTTGGATTTTTGCTTCCATGTATCGCTCTACTATTTTAATTTCCCAACACACTGTCGGCTGCAGGTTTTTTCTTTTTTTATGGATGTCTGCACTACGTACCAGGTTGTTATTACTTATTAACACTATAAATTCAAATTTCATTTTTTACCCAAACAGTATTTCAACCACAGAGGGCATTCGTGAGATCATAAATCATATATATTATATATTTAGATCTATAGCTGAAGCTTGAAAATTACGAGGGAATCCTTAGCTTTTAACAGTAGATCAGATTTATATAAGGGAACTCTCAAACAATCTCAAGTAAGTCTATTAATATTGATCTACTGAAACGATTCTCACTCCAGTGGTAGTCGTAAACGGTTCTGGTCTACGCTTCTGCCATTACATTCCTTACGGACCACTTTTTATAGCATAATGATGAGTTATGCCGAAACCAACCGACAACGTAACAGTGCATTGCATGCACTCAAACAAATCAACATATCTTCCAATTTTTATTTTTTATTTGCAAGAAAAAATAAACGCAAACCCACAAACACAATTTAAATAATGGATTAACGTTTCACGTTTGTGCTGCACAGTAAATAATTTTTTTTCTTTCCATTCCAAAACAATATTATTTTAGGGTTTGAAAAAAATATATACAGGTATTTTAATAAAATACATGATAAAAAAAATAAAAATTTCAAAATACCTTGTATTTTTGTCTTAAACCTTAATAATAATTTTATCTCATGTAATAAGATAAACACTTCTCCCTTAAAATAATATCTTTATTCCGATATAATATTTTAAGCATTCTAAAATATTTACCTTAAAATCAGTGAAATAAGTATATATATACATTTTTTCATTTTTCCTTTAGTATTTCGCGGACAATAAATGTTGCTATACATATCACATATTCTTATACGAGGAAGGTTATAATTACAACCTCTTATAAATTACAATCATATTTTAAACGTTAATTTTTGTCAATCAACAATTAACATTTATTATGAATTAATTAATAATTAATTAATTTGATTTGCGAAAATAATAACCGTTGATTAACGGAAATCAACGGTTGAGATATAATTGTAAAAGATTGTAAACGAAAATAGATTGTAAATATAACTTTCCTCTTCTTATATACCTTGAAAACTAGTAGTAGGCACAAGAGGCTAAGTACATCTAAAATTTATGAAATTACAATAAAAAATTAGGAATATATATATATATTCTTGACCAATATTTTATTATGATTAAAAACTAGTAAACTATTTATATAGTGCTCTAAAATTTTTAACCTAGGATCTATTTTTTTTAGGATATACTTAAAAAAAATAAAATGAGACTTGTAATAGTGGTAAAGTTATTTTTTTGTGACGGAATATTATTGGTTCGTGTGTGGGAAATAACTTATTCACAAAATGTAACGATAAAATTATGCACAATCAACCATCACTCATACCTTTATAAATCAGAAAGCCTTGTATATTAGTATTTGACCTACATTAAAAAATTCTATTCATTCTTTCTTTGTTTAACTGAGTTAAAATATAAATAAAAAAAATAAAAATGAATTCTCATGTTTTATTATACCACTTATTATTACTCTTTGATTTGTCTATAAAGAATCTTGTAAATCTTTTAAAATGTTATATATAAATAAAAATAATCAAAAAAATTATTTTATAAATATATAAGAAAATATAAAAATACATAAAACAAATTCTATGTTTTTCTTTAATTCAATAAATATATGACAAATATTTTTTAAAATTATTTTGAAATATTTTAAACGGATATCGAGCTTTGTTGTAAAATACATAATTTTGTATATCTCAAATCCATTAGTTTCTAATATTGGGCTCTAAGAACATTGGCTTAGATCCTGCTCACTAGTTTTAGCGTGTACTTGATCTGAAAGCCCACTTATCCAATGGCAAGGAAACCTATGAGTCCACAGTTCGTTAAAGGCCCAAATTGTTCTACACATTCGTTGCCCCTCCCACCCCAATAAATAAAATAAGATACGTTACATGAATATTTATCCTCTGTTTACCAAATACAAAATTGTGTCAAAAATAAGTAAATGTTATCCAGAGATCAATCCTTAAATAAATTGTATGATTATGCCACGTGTGGCTAGGGGTATTCGCGGTCTGGATTGGATCAGTTTTAAAAGCAAAAATCATCCGATTCAATCCCTTCGATTTGATCATGTAATCATCCATTTGGATTGAATTTTTTTTCAAATCCGATCCGATCAAATCCAATTTTTTTCGGTTTAGATTGGACCGGTTTTCGATTTTTTGAAAATCTTAAAATTTGTTGCATGATTATTGTGCAAATAACATTTTTTGTATATATTGGCTTAGTAAATTTTATTTTTTTGAATACAAAAGCATCAGCAAACAATAATATAGTTTTTTTTTTTTTTGACAATGAAATTTTGTTGATGAAATGTGACTAAGTTTTTTCTTGGGTTTAGTTGATGGATTAATGGGTCTTGAGTTTAGAAATTTTTGGGCTAGATTGGGGAAAAGCCCAAATAGGTAAAGGCGAATTAATATATTAGATCGGTTTTATCATCCAATTCGAAAACCGATCCAATCCAATTAAAATTTGCGGTTTTTTTTCGGTTTTCGATTTTTTGATTTTCAGTTTATTCAGTTATCGATTCGGTCACCGCGGTTTGAATAGGTTTGGATCGGTTGATGAACACCCATGTGTGCGGCGACATGTAATATTTTTCTTACCAACTTTTTTATTTTATTTTTTGGTATTTTCTTTTTCTAATTAGATGAGACATTTTTTATTTATTTTTTCAAGATTCTTTGAGAAGAGAAATGTAGACAACTAGGGGTGAAAGTGGGCTGGGCTGGGCCAAGCTTTGCCCCGAAAAGCCCAAGCCTACGTCAAAAAATTTCAATTTGGCCTGGCCCAAGCCTAGTATGAGTCTAATTGTTAGCCAGGTTTGACCCGTTTATAAAAAAACAAATGGCCTGGCTTGGCCCTTTAGCCTCGTTAATTTTTAACTTTCAAGCAGAACCATGAATCAACTTTACAAAGTACTCAAATTCAGTTGCTACACCAAAAATCATAATTTCAACGTCCAAACAGAATCATGAATCATAACAAAACTCATACAATATGCACTTAAATCATTTTCGAAAGCAAAATGCTCAAACTAAATAACATATATTTCATCAGATCCAATAAACAAATCCATACTATGTAAATTAAAATAACTACATGAATCCAACAAACAAATCATGATGCTTGTAGTAAGTATAACTCTCCTAAAAATCTTTTAATATATTCATATATACAATCTAACATGTTGAGATGTTGGTTCCTCTTATATAAGAAATAAAATAAGATTTCTATTAAAATATAATCGAATATAATTAAGTTATAAATGATTGTAATTGATTAAATTTATATCGTTTATTTTTTCTTCAAGACATACTTACTCTATTTTATTTTATTTAAAATAAATAGTACAATATAAGCTGGCCTATGGGCTTATAGGCCTGGCCTTTTTTATCAAACATGCTTTTTTAAGACTTAAGTCCGGCCTATTATACAAAATATACTAGGTTAAATCTGACCAGATGTAGGCTGAGCTGTAGGCCCCTGTAAACCAGTTCGGTCCAATTTCACCCCTATAGACAACGTCACTTGGTGTGGCGTTGTCATGGGAAGTTACGGAATTTTCAAGTTATTGAATTTACATAATGGAGTATTCTTTTTCAGCAGAATGAAATTATACTAATTTTTTCACCAAAAGTAATATCTACTTTTTAAGTCCATGCTCTGTTTGATTATATTTTTAAAATACGTTCAATATAAAATAAAACTGGTTATCCAATAAATAAATAAATAAAAGTGAAATATTATGTTCTGTCCTAGCTATTTTAACGCCTCTACCAAATGCTAAGTAAGTAATTCCTTGTATGTAAGGTAGTAACCCAATCCAATAAAAATAATAATAATAAAGTTGGAGGAGTTAGTTAAAATAGATTATAGATTCGGTCACTTTCTTCAGGTGGATATAATGCATAATTAACCAAATGGAATGATACGTAATATGGAAAATGATTTGGTCGATGTGCAAGCATGCACACGTATACGCATTGAATTCTCCCCTTTTGGGTTAAGCTGGTGACCATGAAACATTATTATTAGTGGTGACTGATGGAAATGTCATCATGGACTCATGGTAGCTGTCACAGTTCCCCCCTGCTAAGTCATCCCTCATGACTTCTCTGAGTGAACAACCACATCACGTACGAGCAAACCAAGAAGGGAAGAAATCTAATGGCTTTCTGTTTGAGGGTAAAAGAAGGTTAGGATGGGAAGGGCCAGAAGTAAGAAAGAGTGAAAGATATCCGTTTGGTTTATACTTTTATATTCAGGTTCAATTTTTCTCCTTTTACATCTTCTTATGTTGTAGACAGAAAATGAGTGGGTCCCACTATTAGAAGAAAAAATAAAAGTGACGTGCGAAAATCAAAATAAGAAAATAAGAGAGAAATTATCTTATGTAAAAGCAGAGTAATATTTCCCTTTATATTAACATTTTCAGAGGTGAATGTAAGTGTTTGCCAAGTTACATTCCAAAAACAAAAAAGGTCCATAACCAACACCATCAAAATTTAGCCTCCAAAACCATTTTCATAAACTTAGTTACGCTCCTATTTACTACTTTTCTGGTTGTACTCATGCTCCGTCGTCTAAAATCCACGAGCAAGAAGAGAACTTGCAAAGACAATAATAGTAGAGTACTACTTCATGACATAAGTAGTAGGTTTATGGCTTCAACAGCGTTGAGCTTCAATTCTAGCCCAGGTAATTTGTACCATATATATGTTATATCAATTGATTGCAAACAGTTTCTAATCCCGGTTGCAAAAATGAACTGCAGATGTGAAGGGAGAGTGTCTTCACAAAAGAAATCTAAGCATGACTCCAGCACCTAAATTTCGAGGAGTGCAAGTGTTCACATATAGGGAGATAGAAGTGGCCACAGACGGATTCAGTAATGCAAATGTGATTGGCAATGGAGGCATTGGTTTGATGTACAGAGGAATCCTAAGTGATGGCACTTTGGCAGCAATTAAATTGATGCGCAGGGAAGGTAAGCAAGGGGAGCGAGCCTTCAGAATGGAGGTGAGTCAAAATCATGATAAGAGGGATATAATATAAAACTATGTAAGCGATCTATTTTGGATTGAATTGGCGCATTACATGTAGTCTTCAGAGTCTACATGACTAAGTGATCACGAGTTCGATTTTTGCGTGACAGTTTGTATTTATTGCAGGTGGATCTCCTGAGCCGCTTGCACTCTCCATATTTGGTGGAGTTGCTTGGCTATTGTGCAGACCAACACCACAGGCTACTGATATTTGAGTACTTGCCCAATGGTACTCTTCAACAACATCTCTACTCTCCTAACAATCAAACTCAACCGTTGGATTGGTGGACACGTATGAGGATAGCCCTTGATTGTGCAATGGCTCTGGAGTTCCTGCACGAACATCCTGTCTCACCTGTCATCCACCGTGACTTCAAGTGTAGCAATGTTCTACTGGATCAAAATTTCCGTGCCAAGGTTTCAGATTTTGGATTGGTAAAAACGGGATCAAAGAAGATCAACGGTCAGGTTTCCACCCATATGTTGGGTACCTCTGGATATATGGCACCAGAGTGAGTTCTGTGTACCCCATCTCACCTTGCTTTATCTTTCCCCACTCCCATATAACATAAATTGCAATGTTGAAGGTCACTCATAATTTTACTTGTTTGTCTCATAATATATTATTATAGAATATATTCAATAGGATAAATGTTATATTTACAAACTCAATTATCTATTCCCGGAAATTAATAGACTCGGTTAGGAATATATTTCTGGAAATACATAATAAAATTTGTAAGAGTTTGTAAACAAATTTTTTTTAAGAATAACCTACCTCGTTTAATATATACCATGAATTTTGGGCACACTGTAGGTATGCCTTCACAGGAAAGCTTACTGCAAAGTCAGATGTTTATAGCTATGGTGTGGTTCTTCTCGAGCTGCTAACAGGACGTATACCGGTTGATATTAAGAGGCCTCCTGGAGAACATTTTCTTGTCTCTTGGGTTAGTAAATAGCACTGCATTTTCACGGAAATCATCTTGTTAAATTGTCAGATTTCGTAACTTTAATTTGTGTTATTCTTCAGGCTCTTCCAAGGTTAACTGACAGAGAAAAAGTGATGGAAATGGTTGACCAAACTCTAGGGGGACAGTACTCAAAGAAGGATCTAATTCAGGTAAAAATTTCGTTTCATTCAGTAATTGTTGTTATTATGAATGATAAACCATCAACCGACTATTTGCTTTCTGCTACTACTTTGGTTTACAGATAGCGGCCATTGCTGCAATGTGCATACAGCCAGAACCTGATTACAGGCCGCTAATGATGGATGTTGTACAATCACTAATACCACTTGTTAGGAACCCGCCTTCTAATAGTTCATCTAGTTCCCTAAGATTGCAGAAACAAACATCAAGTCCAACTGTCTAAGCCATTAGGGGAGCATGCATTATGTTTTTTGCAATATCCTGTTTGAGTAAGTAGAGCAAAAGCAGCTACCCCAGAAGCAAGTGATCTTTGTTCTTAGAAGGCAATAGTGCTTGCACAAACATAAGGTCGAAAAAATGCAATAATCATATATGGTAGGGCATCATAAAATTGACAACTTTGATTAGCAGAGTTTTCACCCTACATTTTTGTTGAATAAACGTTAAATGTGGAGTTATGTGTCAGTTTAATTTTTAAAGGGTTTAATTCAGCAATCAATTTAATTTTTAATGGGTTTAATTCAGCAAACGTTAAATGTCAGTTATATGTTTTTAAGTTTCTGAAATTATGGGAGTTTATTGTGATGTTAAGTGTCTTTATTGTAGAGTTACAAGTTTTATAATTTAAAAATCTATTGTTTGAATGTAAAAGTTACGACTTCTGCCTTAGTAAAAATCCTTTGTTTTACTCTTCTCCTAACAAATTGGTATCAGAGCTATGGAAAGGGGGAGTGATATGGCACTACCTAAGTTGACGAAGGAGAACTACGAGAATAGGAGCATCCAGATGAAGGCTCTTCTCGGATCCCAGGACGCTTGGGAGAATGTTCAAGCAGGTTTTGTAGAACCACAGGATACTGGAGGCTATTCGGCGATGGAGGCTATTCGGCGACTCAAACTAAAGCGTTGAAAGAGACACGTGCAAAAGACAAGCTGGCGTTATTCATGCTCTTCCGAGCTGTAGACGAATCCGGGTTCGAGAAGATAGCAAATTGTGAGACCTCAAAGGCAGCCTGGGACATCTTGGCAAATGTCTATAGAGGAGCTAACCGGGTTAAACAAGTTCGGCTTCAAACCCTTCGTGCCGAGTTGGAGGGAATGAAGATGAAGGACACGGAAGGAGTATCCGGGTTCGTTGCCCGGGTTCAAGGAATTGTGAACCAGTTGAAACGGAATGGAGAAGATATACCTGACACCAGAGTGGTAGAGAAAATCTTGAGATCTTTGACAGACCAGTTCGAAAACGTGGTTTGTGCGATAGAGGAGTCCAAGGATCTGTCTACACTCACCATTGACGAGTTGGTGGGTTCCCTTGAAGCGCATGAACAAAGAAAGAAGAAGAAGGAGGAAACTCTTGAGCAGGTACTTCAGACCAAAGCAACAATTAAAGATGACAAGATGCTCTATTCTCAAAGTTTCCGAGGTAGAGGACGTGGCCGCAGTGGACGAGGTACTAGCCGTGGTGGTAGAGGTCGAGGCTGAAGTCAAGAAGTGTATGGTGATGAGGTAGGACAGTCAAATCAACAAAACTGGAGAGGACGAGGACGAGGTCGACGAGGAGGTCGGTCACATTATTCAAACATCGAGTGTCACAAATGTGGAAAGTTTGGTCACTATGCGAAAGATTGTAACTCGGACAAGTGTTACAACTGTGGCAAAGTCGGACATTTCGCAAGAGAAGGCGAGATAAAGGATGGTGTCTTGTTAATGACACACAGTGAAGGAAGTCCTGACGATGACATGGAGTGGTATCTTGACACGGGTGCGAGCAACCACATGTGCGGACATAAACACTTCTTCAAGGAGATGATAAAAGTGGAAACCGGACATGTTTCGTTCGGGGATGCCTCAAAGGTTGAGGTAAAAGGCCGAGGTACGATCTGTTTCCTACAAAAGGACGGGTTAATTGGCTCAATTCGAGATGTGTACTATGTACCCGACCTAAAAAGCAATATTTTAAGCATGGGTCAACTGATGGAGAAAGGTTACTCGGTTATTATGAAAGACCGGGTATTGTATTTGAAAGATGAGCAAGGTTGGATGATAGTCCGAGTTCAAATGGGTAAGAATCGTATGTATAAACTGAATTTGAAATGTGTACAAGTTGAATGTTTACAAGCCGAGGTAGAAGATAAGGCGTCATTTTGGCATCTCCGGTTTGGTCACCTACATTATGGTGGTCTAACCAAGTTGGCAGAGAAAGATGGTGGACGGGTTACCTGACATAAACTTTGAAGGAAAGTTTTGTGAGAGTTGTGTACTTGGCAAGCATGCCAGGACCACGTTTCAGAAGTTGGCAAGATTCCGGGCTAATCAACCTCTGGAACTAATACATACCGACTTGTGTGGACCCATCAATCTCGGTTCCTTCAGCGGTAAGAAGTATTTTATTTCCTTTATTGATGATTGAGAAAGCAACAGGAAGCTATATCAAATCGGTGCGGTCTGACAGAGGTGGGGAATATACCTCAACAGCGTTTATGTCGTTCTGTGAGGAACAGGGGATAAGGAGGTTTCTAACAGCACCATACTCACAACAACAGAATGGCGTGGCTGAAAGGAAGAACCGGACTATTCTTGACATGGTTCGGTCAATGCTGAAGAACAAAAGGATGCCGAAGGAGTTTTGGGCGGAAGCTGTGCAGTGTGCTGTGTATGTGCAGAACCGATGTTCACATTCAAGCTTGGATGACAAAACACCACAGGAAGCATGGAGCAGTCAAAAAGCCTTCAGTGGCTCATCTCAGAGTTTTAGGTAGTGTGGCCTATGCACACATACCGGACCAGCTCAGAACCAAGCTCGAGGATAAAAGCAAGAAATATGTTTTTATTGGATATGATGAAAAAACAAAGGGGTATAAGCTGTTTGACCCCGTCAACAAGAAAGTCATAGTGAGCAGAGATGTAAAGCTCAATGAAGCAAATGAGTGGGACTGGAGCAATTCATCTGAGATAAACTTTGAAGACGGAATCACAACACAAATTATCAACCAGGCAAGTCCTGAAGCTTCTGATGATGAAGACGAGGTACGACAACCCAGGATGCAGAGCATACAAGACATATATGAGTCAACAAGTGAGGTACATTTTGTTTGTCTTCTTGCAGATTCTGAAAATATAAGCTTTGAATAAGCCATCCGAGATAAGAAATGGCAAGACGCCATGGATGAGGAGATAGAAGCCATTGACCGAAATAACACATGGGAGTTAGCCGAGCTACCAAAAGGAAGTCGGCCCATTGGAGTGAAGTGGGTGTTCAAGAAGAAGATGAATGCTCAAGGGGAGATAGAACGATATAAAGCTCGGCTAGTTGCAAAAGGTTATAAGCAGAAGGCTGGAATTGACTATGACGAGGTGTTTGCCCCTGTTACAAGGATGGAGACAATTCGGCTACTCATCTCACAGGCTGCTCAATACAGATGGCCAATACATCAAATGGATGTAAAGTCGGCATTCCTGAATGGTGTTCTTGAAGAAGAAGTTTATGTGGAACAACCGTCGGGCTACACGAAGGCAGGAGAAGAGAAGAAGGTGCTGAGATTGAAGAAAGCACTTTACGGGTTGAAGCAAGCACCACGAGCATGGAATGCTCGTATTGACAAATATTTCAAGGAGAATGGACTTGAACAATGTCCATATGAACATGCTGTTTATGTCAAGAAAAATGGAGGAGACTTGTTAATTGTGGCTCTTTATGTTGACGACCTCATTTTTATGGGAAACAATGCCAAGATGATACAAGAGTTCAAGAGCACAATGACAAGAGAGTTCGAAATGACAGATCTCGGTTTTATGAAGTTCTTTCTCGGTTTGGAAGTAAAACAAAATGAGAAGGGAATTTTCGTGTCACAGGAGGCTTATGCAAAAAAGATTTTGAAAAAGTACAAAATGGAAGATTGCAACCCGGTTTCAACACCAATGGAACCCGGTTCAAAACTTTCTAAGTTTGATGGAGGAGACCGTGTTGATGCAAGCAAGTACAGAAGTTTGGTGGGAAGCCTACGCTATCTCACGTGCACGAGGCCGGATATCTCGTTGAGTGTCGGCATAGTAAGTCGGTTCATGGAGGAGCCAAGATACACACATTGGAAGGCGGTAAAGAGAATTCTGAGGTATGTTCAAGGTACAGTTTCACACGGGTTACACTACTCGAGCTCGGCAAAATACAAGTTGATTGGATATTCTGACAGTGATTGGTGTGGAGACGTAGATGATCGAAAGAGCACGGCTGGTTATGTGTTTTTCATGGGCAACACGGCATTCACTTGGATTTCAAAGAAGCAACCTATTGTGACACTGTCGACATGTGAAGCTGAATATGTAGCTGCATCTTGGTGTGTTTGTCATGCAATGTGGCTCAGGAATTTGCTAAGCAAGCTGGAGGAAAAACAAGTCGGCCAAACTGTGATCCGAATTGACAATAAGACGGCTATAGAGCTAGCCAAGAACCCGGTAAATCATGAAAGAAGCAAGCATATTGACGTCCGATTTCACTTCATCCGGGATCAAGTAAAGGAAGGAAATGTGGAGCTAACACACGTGACCAGTCAAGAGCAAGTCGCGGATATCTTCACGAAACCACTACCGACGGTACTCCTTGACAACTACAAGAAATTGATCGGCATGAAGGATGGCAGAAGCATTTAAGTTTACGTGGGAGTTTTGTTGAATAAACGTTAAATGTGGTGTTATGTGTCAGTTTAATTTTTAATGGGTTTAATTCAGCAATCAATTTAGTTTTTAATGGGTTTAATTCAGCAAACGTTAAATGTCAGTTTTATGTTTTTAAGTTTCTGAAATTATGGGAGTTTATTGTGATGTTAAGTGTCTTTATTGTAGAGTTACAAATTTTGTAATTTAAAAATCTATTGTTTGAATGTAAAAGTTACGACTTCTGCCTTAGTAAAAATCCTTTGTTTTACTCTTCTCCTAACATACATCCTTCCAATATGTAGAAAAAAAAAAAAAAAAACAGATGTATAATCCAAATTTTCCCAAAGGGCCAGTACGGGTAAAATCATTTGTAATCAGTCGATATAAAAGAGTTTGGTATGAAGTGTAATACAGATATTACAAAGCGGTTTATTAGTTTTCATTTAATAGCTAAACTTTTGACAGTTGATTTTTGGTATGATTTTAGAGTCTCTAAGTTTGATCCATACCATTTCTTTCTATTTGGCAGAATTTTGAGAAGACTGTAATTTCAAAGAGTTTTGATATATA